TTGGGGTGCAGCTGATTGGGTTCAGGTGTGTGGGGCTGATTTTGGGGTGCAGGAATTGGGGTTCAGGTGTGTGGTGCAGGTATTAGGAGCAGTTTTGGGGTGCAGGTTTTGGGGTGCAGGTGTGCGGGGGTGATTTTGGGGTTCAGGTGTGTGCGGGGCTGATTTTGGGGTGCAGGTATTGGGGTTCAGGTGTGTGAGGGGCTGATTTTGGGGTGCAGGTTTTGGGGTTCAGGTTTTAGGGGCGGTTTTGGGGTTCAGGTGTGGGGGTTCAGGTGTGCGGGGCTGATTTTGGGGGCTGATTTTGTGGGACAGGTATTGGGGTGCAGGTATGTGATGGGTGCAGGTTTTGGGGTTCAGGTGTGTAGGTGCGGATTTGGGGTGCAGGTGAAAGGGTTCAGGTGTGTGCGGGGCTGATTTTGGGGTGCAGGAATTGGGGTTCAGGCGTGTGAGGCAGATTTTGTGAGTGACTTTGGGGTGCAGGTTTTGGGGTTCAGGTGTGTGCAGGGTTGATTTTGGGGTGAGGATTTTGGGGTTCAGGTGTGTGGGATTGATTAGGTGTGTGTGGGGCAGATTTGGGGTGCAGGTTTTGGGACAGGTACTGGGGTGCAGGAGTGTGAGGGATGCAGGTTTGGGGTTCAGGGGTTTGGGGTGGAGATTTTGGGGGGCAGTTTTGGGGTCACACCTGGTCTGAGGCAGTTTTGGGTCCATTTTTGGGGTCACTTTTGGGGCACTTTTGGGTTCGATTTGGGGGTCACGGGGTCACGTTTGGGGTCACTTTTGGGGTCCCTTTTGGGATCAGTTTTGGGGTAATTTTTGGTGTCACTTTTGGGGTCACTTTTGGGTTCACTTTTGGGGTCACTTTTGGGGGTCATGGAGCCACTTTTGGGGTCACTTTTGGGAGTCACGGAGTCACCTTTGGGGTCACTTTTGGGTTCAGTTTTGGGGCACATTTGGGTCACTTTTGGGTCACTTTTGGGTTCACTTTTGGGGTCACCTTTGGGGTGACTTTGGGTTCAGTTTTGGGTCACTTTTGGGATCAGTTTTGGGGTCCCTTTTGGATTCATTTTTGGGGTCATTTTTGCAGGTCACAGGGTCACGTTTTGGTTCATTTTTGGGGGTCACGGGGTCACTTTTGGGGGTCACGTTTGGGGTCTCATTTGGGGTCACGTTTGGGTTCATTTTTGGGGTCACTTTTGAGTCACTTTTGGGGTCACTTTTGGATTCATTTTTGGGGTCATTTTTGCAGGTCACAGGGTCACGTTTTGGTTCATTTTTGGGGGTCACGGGATCAGTTTTGGGGTGACGTTTGGAGCACTTTTGGGTTCGATTTGGGGGTCACGGGGTCACGTTTGGGGTCACTTTTGGGATCAGTTTTGGGGTCACAGAGTCATGTTTTGGTTCATTTTTGGGGGTCACGGGGGCACTTTTGGGGGTCACGTTTGGGGTCTCATTTGGGGTCACGTTTGGGCTCATTTTTGGGGTCACTTTTGAGTCACTTTTGGGGTCACTTTTGGGGTCCCTTTTGGGATCAGTTTTGGGGTCCCTTTTGGATTCATTTTTGGGGTCATTTTTGCAGGTCACAGGGTCACGTTTTGGTTCATTTTTGGGGGTCACGGGATCAGGTTTGGGGCGACGTTTGGAGCACTTTTGGGTTCGATTTGGGGGTCACGGGGTCACGTTTGGGGTCACTTTTGGGATCAGTTTTGGGGTCACAGAGTCATGTTTTGGGTCCATTTTTGGAGGTCACGGAGTCACTTTTAGGGTGACTTTTGGGGTCTCATTTGGGGTCACGTTTGGGGTGATGTTTGGAGCACTTTTAGGTCACTTTTGGGTTCGATTTGGGGGTCACGGGGTCACGTTTGGGGTCACTTTTGGGATCACTTTTGGGGTCCCTTTTGGGGTCATTTTTGGGGTCATTTTTAGGGTCACAGAGTCATGTTTTGGTTCATTTTTGGGGTCACTTTTGGGGGTCACGGGGTCTCTTTTGGGGTCACTTTGGGGTCACGTTTTGGTTCATATTTGGGGTCACTTTTGGGGTCACTTTTGCTTTTAGGTCACTTTTGGGTTCGATTTGGGGGTCACGGGGTCACGTTTGGGGTCACTTTTGGGATCACTTTTGGGGTCCCTTTTGGGGTCATTTTTGGGGTCATTTTTAGGGTCACAGAGTCATGTTTTGGTTCATTTTTGGGGTCACTTTTGGGGGTCACAGGGTTTCTTTTGGGGTCACTTTGGGGTCACGTTTTGGTTCATATTTGGGGTCACTTTTGGGGTCCCTTTTGGGGTCACGTTTGGGTTAATTTTTGGGGTCACAGGGTCAGTTTTGGGGTGACGTTTGGGGTCACTTTTGGGATCAGTTTTGGGGTCACTTTTGGGGTCACGTTCGGGTTCATATTTGGGGTCACTTTTGGGGGTCACAGGGTCAGTTTTGGGGTCACGTTTGGGGTCACTTTTGGGGTCACGTTCAGATTCATATTTGGGGTCACTTTTGGGGGTCATGGGGTCAGTTTGGGGGTCACTTTTGGGGTCAGTTTTGGGGGTCACGGGGTCACATTTAGGTTCATGTTTGGAGTCACTTTTGGGGTCACTTTTGGGGTCACTTGGATTCATTTTTGGGGTCACTTTTGGGGGTCACAGGGTCACTTTTGGGGTCAGTTTTGGGGGTCATGGGGTCACATTTAGGTTCATGTTTGGGGTCAGTTTTGGGGTCAGTTTTGAGGGGCGGGGCCTAAAGGGGAGTGGCTAAAGGGGGTGGGGCTTAAATGGGAGGGGCTTAATGGGCGGGGCTTAAAGGGGTGGGGAATGAGGGGCGTGGCTTTTCCCCATTTCCAGGCCGTGTCCAGGGACTACGAGAACATTTATCCCTATTTTATCCCAATTTTATCCATATTTTATCCCTATTTTATCCCATATTTTATCCATATTTTATCCATATTTTATCCCTATTTTATCCATATTTTATCCCTATTTTATCCCATATTTTATCCATACTTTACCCATATTTTATCCATATTTTATCCATATTTTCCCCATTTTTTCAGAACACCCAGAAATCCCAAACCCCTCATTTTTCCCCCATTTTTTCCCAATTTCCCGCGTTTTTGCCCCGATTCCAGGCCATGTCCAGGGACTACGAGAAGATTTATCCCATATTTTATCCATATTTTATCCATACTTTATCTATATTTTATCCATATTTCCCCCCATTTTTCAGGATATCTGGGCATCTCAAAAATCTCAATTTCCCCCCACTTTTTCCCAATTTTTTGTGGTTTTTCCACATTTTTCAGGCCATGTCCAGGGACTACGAGGAGGACGTTCGCTGCCTTATTTTTCTCCATATTTTATCCACATTTTCCCTAAATTTCCCCATTTTTTCAGGACACCCAGGCATCCCAAAAATCTCATTTTTCTCCCATTTTTTCCCAATTTCCCGTGTTTTTTCCCCAATTTCCAGGCCATGTCCGGGGACTACGAGGAGGACACTTATCCCATATTTTCTCAATATTTTCACAATATTTTATCCATATTTTCCCCAAATTTTCCCATTTTTTCCCCACACTCAGCAATCCCAAACCCCTCATTTTTCCCCCGTTTTTTCCCAATTTCCCGCGTTTTTGCCCCGATTTTCAGGCCATGTCCGGCGACTACAAGGAGAACATTTATCCCATATTTTCCCCATATTTTCTCCACATTTTCCCCAAATTTCCCCATTTTTTCAGGACACCCAGAAATCCCAAACCCCTCATTTTTCCTCCCATTTTTTCCCAATTTCCCGTGGTTTTTCCCCAATTTCCAGGCCATGTCCGGGGACTATGAGGAGGACGTTTATCCCATATTTTCCCCGTATTTTCTCCACATTTTCCCCAAATTTCCCCATTTTTTCAGGACACCCAGCAATCCCAAACCCCTCATTTTCCACCCATTTTTTCCCAATTTCCCATGTTTTTGCCCCAATTTTCAGGCCATGTCCAGCGACTACAAGGAGAACATTTATCCCATATTTTCCCCGTATTTTCTCCACATTTTCCCCAAATTTCCCCATTTTCCCCCCATTTTTTCAGGACACCCGGGCATCCCAAACCCCTCATTTTCCGCCTATTTTTTCCCAATTTCCCGCATTTTTTCCCCAATTCCCAGGCCATGTCTGGGGACTACGAGGAGGACGTTGGACCCATATTTTATGTGTATTTTCTCCATATTTTCTCCATATTTCCCCATTTTCCCCCCATTTTTTCAGGACACCCGGGCATCCCAAAAATCTCATTTTTCTCCCGTTTTTTCCCAATTTCCCACGTTTTTTCCCCATTCCCAGGCCATGTCCGGGGACTACGAGGAGGACACTTATCCCATATTTTCTCAATATTTTCACAATATTTTATCCATATTTTCCCCAAATTTTCCCATTTTTTCCCCACACTCAGCAATCCCAAACCCCTCATTTTTCCCCCGTTTTTTCCCAATTTCCCGCGTTTTTGCCCCGATTTTCAGGCCATGTCCGGCGACTACAAGGAGAACATTTATCCCATATTTTCCCCATATTTTCTCCACATTTTCCCCAAATTTCCCCATTTTTTCAGGACACCCAGAAATCCCAAACCCCTCATTTTTCCTCCCATTTTTTCCCAATTTCCCGTGGTTTTTCCCCAATTTCCAGGCCATGTCCGGGGACTATGAGGAGGACGTTTATCCCATATTTTCTCAATATTTTCTGAATATGTTTTCCGTATTTCCCCCAAATGTCCCCATTTTTTCCCCACACCCAGCAATCCCAAACCCCTCATTTTTCCTCCCATTTTTTCCCAATTTCCCGCATTTTTTCCCCAATTCCCAGGCCATGTCTGGGGACTACGAGGAGGACGTTGGACCCATATTTTATGTGTATTTTCTCCATATTTTCTCCATATTTCCCCATTTTCCCCCCATTTTTTCAGGACACCCGGGCATCCCAAAAATCTCATTTTTCTCCCGTTTTTTCCCAATTTCCCACGTTTTTTCCCCATTCCCAGGCCATGTCCGGGGACTACGAGGAGGACGTTTGCCGCAGCGCGCTGCGCCTGGTGCACGAGCTCTGCTTCGCCCCCCGCGCGCGCCCGCCCCACGCGCGCTGCCTGGAGTTCACCGACCTGCTGCGGCACCGCGGCCACCCCCGGCCGGCTGACACAGGTATAGACACACCTGGGGACAGGTATGGCACACCTAGGGACAGGTACTGCACACCTGGGCACACCTGGGGACACACCCAGATACACCTGGGCACAGCTGCTGCGGCACCGCGGCCACCCCCGGCCCGCCGACACAGGTACGGGCACCTGGGCACACCTGGGGACAGGTACGGCACACCTGGGCACACCTGGGCACACCTGGGCACACCTGGGCACAGCTGCTGCGGCTCCGCGGCCACCCCCGGCCGGCTGACACAGGTATAGACACACCTGGGGACAGGTACAGCACACCTGGGCACACCTGGGCACAGGTACTGCACACTTGGGCACACCTGGGCACACCTGGGGACAGGTACGGCACACCTGGGGACACACCTGGGGACAGGTACGGCACACCTGGGCACACCTGGGCACACACCCAGATACACCTGCACACAGCTGCTGCGGCACCGCGGCCATCCCCGGCCCGCCGATACAGGTACGGGCACCTGGGCACACCTGGGCACACCTGGGGACACCTGGGGACACCTGGGCACACCTGGGCACACCTGGGGACACCTGGGACACACCTGGGGACACCTGGGGACACACCCAGATACACCTGGGCACAGGTACGGCACACCTGGACACACCTGGACACACCTGGGGACAGGTACTGCACACCTGGGGAGACACTTAGATACACCTGGGCACAGCTGGGGACAGGTACAGCACACCTGGGGTACCTGGGGACACACCCAGCGATACAGGTATGGCACACCTGGGCACATCTTTGGGTGATTTTGGGTCTGTCCCCCCCCAGAGGTGTCGGTGTCGCTGCTGTCGGTCATTGTCACCTCCTGCGGCCTGGTCCCGCTGCGGGTGTCACCCTGCGGGGTTTGGGCCAATTCTGGGTGCATTTTTTTTGTATTTTTTGGTCTTTTTGGGTGGATTTTTCTGGATTTTGGGTGATTTTGGGTTTCTCACCCCCCAGAAGTGTCGGTGTCGCTGCTGTCCGTCATCGTCACCTCCTGCGGCCTGGTCCTGCTGCGGGTGTCACCCTGCAGGGTTTGGGCCAATTCTGGGTGGATTTTTTGGGGTTTTTTTTGTATTTTTGGTAATTTTGGGTGGATTTTTCTGGATTTTGGGTCTGTTCCCCCCCCAGAGGTGTCGGTGTCGCTGCTCTCTGTCATTGTCACCTCTGGAGACAGCACATGGGCACACTTGGAAACACCTGGACACAGTACGGCACACCTGGACACACCTGGACACACCTGGGGACAGGTACTGCACACCTGGGGAGACACTTAGATACACCTGGGCACAGCTGGGGACAGGTACAGCACACCTGGGGTACCTGGGGACACACCCAGCGATACAGGTATGGCACACCTGGGCACATCTTTGGGTGATTTTGGGTCTGTCCCCCCCCAGAGGTGTCGGTGCCGCTGCTCTCTGTCATTGTCACCTCCTGCGGCCTGGTCCTGCTGGGGCTGTCACCCTGCGGGTTCTGGGTGCATTTTGGTGAATTCTGGGTGGATTTTTTTGATATTTTGGTTTAATTTTGGGTTGATTTTGGATGATTTTGGGTCTATTCCCCCCCAGAAGTGTCGGTGTCGCTGCTGTCCGTCACCGTCACCTTCTGCGGCCTGGTCCTGCTGGGGGGGGCGGCATTCTGGGTGGATTTTTGTGATTTTTGGGAGGATTTTTATGGACTTTGTGCGGATTTTGGGTTATTTTTGGGTGATTTTGGGTCTGCCCCCCCCAGAGGTGTCGGTGTCGCTGCTGTCCGTCACCGTCACCTTCTGCGGCCTGGTCCTGCTGGGGGGGGCGGCATTCTGGGTGGATTTTTGTGATTTTTGGGTGGATTTTTATGGACTTTGTGCAGATTTTGGGTTATTTTTGGGTGATTTTGGGTCTGTCCCCCCCAGAGGTGTTGGTGTCGCTGCTGTCCGTCACCGTCACCTTCTGCGGCCTGGTCCTGCTGCGGGTGGCGGAATTCTGGGTGGACTTTTGTGATTTTTGGGCGGATTTTTCCAGATTTTGTGTAGATTTGAATGTATTTTGGATTCATTTTGGGTTGATTTTAGGTGATTTTGGGTCTGTCCCCCCCCCAGAGGTGTCGGTGTCGCTGCTCTCTGTCATTGTCACCTCCTGCGGCCTGGTCCTGCTGGGGGTGTCACCCTGAGGGTTCTGGGTGCATTTTGGTGAATTCTGGGTGGACCCCCCAGAGGTGTCGGTGTCGCTGCTCTCTGTCATTGTCACCTCCTGCGGCCTGGTCCTGCTGGGGCTGTCACCCTGCGGGTTCTGGGTGCATTTTGGTGAATTCTGGGTGGATTTTTTTGATATTTTGGTTTATTTTTGGGTTGATTTTGGGTGATTTTGGGTTTCTCACCCCCCAGAGGTGTCGGTGTTGCTGCTGTCCGTCATCGTCACCTCCTGCGGCCTGGTCCTGCCGGGGGTGGCGGAATTCTGGGTGGATTTTTGTGATTTTTGGGTGAATTTTTTCAGACTTTGTGCAGATTTTTGATGAATTTTGGGTTGATTTTGGGTTGATTTTGGGTGATTTTGGATCTGTCCCCCCAGAGGTGTCGGTGTCGCTGCTGTCCGTCATCGTCACCTTCTGCGGCCTGGTCCTGCTGGGGGTCTCGCTCTTTGATTTTGGGTGATTTCGGGTCTCTCACCCCCCCAGAGGTGTCGGTGTCGCTGCTGTCCGTCATCGTCACCTTCTGCGGCCTGGTCCCGCTGCGGGTGTCACCCTGCGGGGTTTGGGGCAATTCTGGGTGGATTTTTCTGGTATTTTTTGGTATTTTTTGGGTTGATTTTGGGTGATTTTGGGTCTGTCCCCCCCCAGAGGTGTCGGTGTCACTGCTGTCCGTCATCGTCACCTTCTGCGGCCTGGTCCCGCTGGGGCTGTCACCCTGCGGGGTTTGGGTGCATTTTGGTGAATTCTGGGTGGATTTTTGGGGTTTTTTTTTGTATTTTTGGCATTTTGGTTTATTTTTGGGTTGATTTGGGGTGATTTTGGGTCTGTCCCCCCCCAGAGGTGTCGGTGTCGCTGCTGTCCGTCATCGTCACCTTCTGCGGCCTGGTCCTGCTGGGGGTCTCGCTCTTCGTCTCCTGGAAGCTCTGCTGGGTCCCCTGGCGCCACAAGGGGGGTCCCGGGGGGGTCCCCCCGAGGAAAGACCCCCCCCAGCCGGGGGTGGGGGGCGGGGCGGCGCCCTTCGGGGACCCCCTGCCCGAGCGGGGGGACCCCGAGCCCCCCCCCGAGCGCTGCTACCTGGTCCCCACCCCAAAACCAACTGACCCCAAATCCCCACCCCAAAACCAACTGGCCCCAAATCCCCATCCCAAAACCAGCACTGACCCTGAATTCCCAACCCCAAAATCTTCTCTAGCCCCAAAACCTTGACCCCAAAACCAACACTGACCCCAAATCTGTGACCCCAAAACCGTCTCTAACCCCAAATCTTCCATCTCAAAACCATTTCAAGCCCCAAACTCACAACCCTAAAAAGGTCTCTAACCCCAAATCCCTGACCCCAAAACCGTCTCTAATCTCAAATCCCTGACCCCAAAACCAACACTGACCCCAAATTCCCAACCCCAAAACCTTCTCTAGCCCCAATTCCTGACACCAAAACCTTCTCTAACCCCAAATCCTCCACCCCAAATCCCCAACCCCAAAAGGGTCTGTAACCCCAAATCCCTCAACCCAAAACCATTTCTAGCCCCAAATCCATCACCCCAAAAGCATCCTTAACCCCAAATCCATCACCCCAAAAGTATCTCTAATCTCAAATCCCTCATCCCAAAACCATCTCTAACTCCAAGGCCCCGGCGGCGCGGCGCCGAGCTGCGGGCGGCTGCAGGTGTCCCTGCGCTACTCGTACGGCTCGCAGCAGCTGCTGGTGCGCGTGCTGCGCGCCCGCGACCTGCCCGCCAAGGACTCCAACGGCTTCTCCGACCCCTACGTCAAGATCTACCTGCTGCCCGACCGCAAGAAGAAGTTCCAGACCAAGGTGCTGCGGCGGACGCTGAACCCCGAGTGGGACGAGACCTTCAGCTTCGGGGTGCCCTTCGCCGAGCTGCCGGCGCGGCGCCTGCACTTCAGCGTCTACGACTTCGACCGCTTCTCGCGGCACGACCTCATCGGGCAGGTGGTGCTGGACAACCTGCTGGAGGCGGCCGAGGCGCGGCCCGAGGTGGCCATCTGGAGGGACATCCAGGAG